CCAAGGGTAAATCAATTATATCAATAATTGCTGGATCGAGTTTGTAACTCTAGTTCCCAAGGGTAAATCAATGATAACAATAATTGCTGGATCGAGTTTGTAACTCTAGTTCCCAAGGGTAAATCAATGATAACAATAATTGCTGGATCGAGTTTGTAACTCTAGTTCCCAAGGGTAAATCAATGATAACAATAATTGATGGATCGAGTTTTTACTTTCACGTTCAATGTTTATTGAGCTCCCTTCTTCAAAATCGGCTTGTCTCTATGAGCATAAAATAGTCATAAAAACAGTTATTACAGATGTTATTAATTGCTGTAATTCTATAAGCTACGTTGTATCTCGTCGATACTGAAATGACAGGTAATGCGTTATTAGTTTTGTAAACATATTGTTCGCGAACATTCACTACTGTATTTTTTCATAAAAGTTTGTCCTTACTACGTAACAATCAGCATGAATACAGTTCTAAGAGAGAAGTTGAAAGGTCACGCAATAGATATTGAACGTGAAGATATAACCCTGGTTGAGTTAAGACAAAACCCTGGTTGAATTATTTTTTTTTATCCTTTCCAAATCTTACTTATTTGTTTTATCTTCTTCTTCTTTTCTTTTTCATTTTTATTTAAAAATTGCACAATTTTCAGTGAATCTCAACGTATCTTGCAACCTAAGGCAATTAATTACCCCTCTTGTCCCACCTATTACTCAACCATTGACTTACTGTTAATAGAGTGTGACTTACCAAACACCGTGTTTCATAAGAAGTAATTCTCTGTTGTGTCTAAGTTATTCTCTGTGTCGGAGCGACTCTGATAAGACACAGTGTATATAAAGCAATAAAAACTGAAAACGATAACCGTTACACACAAGAAACGAGCAAATCAACGCTCATAATTACACTGTCCATTTCCTGGTGAGCAATGAATATTTTACTTAAAACAAACCAAAACATTATTTAATCAGCCTATACATATCATTACTATTATATTTCTTACTAACAAGCAAAACACGAAAATTCAAGTAAGCTGTTGGATTTTAAGACTCTGTTATAAACTCATAAAAACACAGGCAAAAAAACAAGGAAAAATATTTCAATATTTAATAACTCATATTTTTCTAGACATAGTTATCATTAGAAACTTATTTCACATTTTGTATTTTAAAAGCACAGATATGTCCAAACTGGAAATATTTTTCAGCAAATTTGTTTGTTTATGTAATTGTCGTGTTTATTTGGAAGCATTTTAATGTTTTAAAATCATGTGCCTATACTGAGAAAGGTCTGTATTATGTTTCATTCATACGTCTCCACTTCATCATGCGTGGTTCTGTACACTAAAACATAACTGCACTATACTACACTACATCCGTGTCTATATATTTCATTACACTCATTGAGCATAATAACCCTTTATTCTCCTGAAGAAGAACAGTGAACTATTCGAAAGCGCTGGAGTTTTGGATCTCGTTTAAAAACCATTGAAGTTTTGGGTCTCGTTTGAAAACCATTGAAGTTTTGGGTCTCGTTTGAAAACCATTTGAGTTTTGGGTCTCGTTTGAAAACCATTGGAGTTTTGTGTCTCGTTTGAAAACCATTGAAGTTTTGTGTCTTGTTTGAAAACCATTGAAGTTTTGGGTCTCGTTTGAAAACCATGGACTGTACTTAATTATTTGTAGTGAATACTCTACCTTCTATGCGAGTTTGAAGGATAAAAACAAAATACCACGAAAATCTCACTTATAGCTCTGTTATTTAACCTCACATGTAGATTTACATGTTTTACCATGTGAAGCCATCGAGCATTTATTCACATAGTGCGGAAATGTTCACTGAACTGTTTTCATTCATAGTGTACTGTGTTCAGTAAGCTGACGGTCAACTACCATAGCTGATAAGCTGTTTTACCATGTGAAGCCATCGAGCATTTATTCACATAGTGTGGAAATGTTCACTGAACTGTTTTCATTCATAGTGTACTATGTTCAGTAAGCTGACGGTCAACTACCATAGCTGATAAGCTGTTTTACCAAGCTAATTCAAGTGCAATTCACAATTCTTGTGCATCTAATCATTACTGTGCAAAAACTGAGTAAACGTTGATTATTCATATATTCTTTAATTAAGCAATATGTCTTTAATAACCGCTACTTGACATCCGAGTCATCAGCGCATGTTGCACTGTTACGTGAAAGCCGTCAGGTGTCGCTAGTTCTCGATGGTTTATCGAGAACGCCAATGAAACGCAATCTTTTGGGGCTGAAGTTTTACATTGGCGTCGGGAGAAAGTCGCGTATGCTTCTCGACCGGGAGTCTTCACACCAACTTCCCTGTGCGGACAGACACCATTTGACAGTGGACATCGCTAGACTGAAGAAGCGTCTATTTCTCGGCAAGCTTCATTTTTTGCAGAGCAAACAATTTGATACAAAAATAATTGTTTTATTTTTCAAGAGACCTGTATTCTATCAGGCGATCCTTCGTTGTTACAGTCCTTAATTTGATATCTTTCTTGAAAAGTACTCACTAATAGAGAAGGCCAAACTTGAAAACGCTACCAACAGGTCTCTAAGCAAATACTCGTTCAGTAGACTTTAGTATCGATACTTTTGACAGCTTTTTCAGATCACCCATTCTGTGCTTTACGGTTCTTTTCAGGAATATAAAGTCCAAGTAAGTACACACCGTATTATGTGTAATACTCCACTTATTGTAACATTACACAAAGATTTTTACTATGAGATCATCAGCAACGTGGAACAAGTTGTAATATATGTTCATTGTAAGTTGTTTCGCTAAGGTTTTTTCTTTGCTTGTTTAGTTTAGCAGACGCCAGGAGAATAATTTTATACTGAGACTAAATACTTTTAACTTTACAATTAGACGGTCTTTATTATTGTGGTATCTTTATATCACAGTGCTGTTAATAGCGTTCGTTACATTTACGTCCATCTAAAACCTTTTGCATAGAATGTCTTTATGGTATATTACCTTTACCAAAAATAGGGAAATTTACGTGTTATACACGAAAGATTCATAGACGTGTAAAAAGTGTACTTGTTATATATGGTAGTTCTAGAGTGATGTGAAGAGGATGTAGCTATGTTATACAAGGTAGTTAGTTCTACGGCGATATTAGGAGGGTATAACTATGTTATTCAAGATAGCTCTTGAGTTATGCGAAGAAGATGTAGATTTGTTATAAAGGAGAATTTTTTAGTGATCTGAAGATGTGGCTATGTTATACATATTAGTTCTAGAGCGATCTAAAGATGTGGCTATGTTATACATATTAGTTCTAGAGCGATCTAAAGAAGATGTGGCTATGTTATACATATTAGTTCTAGAGCGATCTAAAGAAGATGTGGCTATGTTATACACGCTAGTTCTAGAGCGACCTGACGAAGATGTGGCTATGTTATACATATTAGTTCTAGAGCGATTTAAAGATGTAGCTATGTTATACATATTAGTTCTAGAGCGATTTAAAGATGTGGCTATGTTATACATATTAGTTCTAGAGCGATCTAAAGAAGATGTGGCTATGTTATACATATTAGTTCTAGAGCGATCTGACGAAGATGTGGCTATGTTATACATATTAGTTCTAGAGCGATTTAAAGATGTAGCTGTATTATACATATTAGTTCTAGAGCGACGTGAAAGATGTAGCTATGTTATACATGATAGTTATAAAGCGATATAAATAGGATGTAACTATGATGTTAGGAAGTGATGCTTCAAGAACACGAAACTTCAAAGAATGAGAACAGAACCTACAGTTATTGTGTGCGTGTAAAACAGTCATATAATATTGTATTTCTTTTTGTCGATAAGCCCAGGCTATACTAACCACGGGCGCCTGATGAAAAACGGGTGTGGCGTGGTTAATTATAGCATTATGTAGTGTGATAAGGTATAGCGTAAGGATCGGTGAATATTTAAAACGTAGTTAGTTACATAATACAGAACTGGTTAAAGAAATCTATCGTTCAGAAACGGCGTATCCTGTCAAGCTGCATTTTAAATAGTCGGCGCTACGTTGCAGAAAATGGATCAAAACTCAAAACCCATTATTTTGTTCCTTGTATTTCTTCAGTAACCAATGATTTCACGATTATGTGTCGAGTTTTCTTTGATTTAAATTTATACACCGGTCAAATGATTGGGAAAACTAATGGTTTCTTGTTTTGCAAGGCTAGTTTGGATTGGGTATAAGCTAAACATTAATCATACAATTAACGTTGGATTCTTTAATTAAACGTATTTATTTGCACCAAATTGCTTTAGATCTATGACTTCTTTCGCTATAGGCTTTCTAATAACATAACATGAGAGGCATATAAAAACTGTAAACAGAAGACACCACCAATATCGCATTTAAACCCACTAATTAATTCTACGATCCTCTACGTATCTTATATACACACACACACAAAAATTAGTGATTTCACCTAATGTTTTTAGTCCGTTTTGGTAAGTGACTGTTGAAATAGATAAAAACAGAAATTTACTCAATATGATACAGTATATGTACTCCACCGGGTACGGATGGTATTAAAAAGCAACCAAGTTAAATAAATTGGTTGTTGTTATATAGAAATAGCGTATTGTTGAAAAGGGAATTTCCATTATATTGATATTAATCTTAGTTTTATGTATGAGAAAACCCTTTTTTTTAAAACGAAATTACCCTCTCTTCCACCGGTGGCTCAACAATAAGCCTAAGGGCTACTAGCACTAAATTTGGGGGTTTGATCCCTGCGGTGGGCATACTGCAGGTAGCTTATTTTGCAGCTTTGCGCTTAATAAACAAAACTAAAAATATTCGGAATGCTTGAATTTCAAAAACCCGTATATTACCGACGTCACTGGAAACTCTGAAGCGCTGGATTTCCGGTGACGGATAACATGTTTTCAGTTGGAAACTCTGAAGCGCTGGATTTCCGGTGACGGATAACATGTTTTTAGTTGGCTGAAACTACTAAAAGAGTTTCCAACTGAAAACATGTTATCCGTCACCGGAAATCCAGCACTTCAGAGTTTCCAGTGACGTCGGTAATATACGGCTTGTTTTTGTAGTTTCAGCCACTAAAAACATGTTATCCGTTACCGGAAATCCAGCACTTCAGAGTTTCCAGTGACGTCGGTAATATACGGCTTGTTTTTGTAGTTTCAGCCAACTAAAAACATGTTATCCGTTACCGGAAATCCAGCACTTCAGAGTTTCCAGTGACGTCGGTAATATACGGCTTGTTTTTGTAGTTTCAGCCAGCTAAAAACATGTTATCCGTCACCGGAAATCCAGCACTTCACTAACATTAATTTTTACAGATTTTTAATGTTAACATTAATTATTACAGATTTTTAATGTTAACATTAATTATTGATACGCAAGTCTATCTTTAAGTAATAATTACGTTTTAGTGTTTGTCTTAAGAATTTTACCCTCAGAATGTGTCAGGGATGTGATGATAAAGTACTTTACGGAAAAAAACAACAACAATACTGAAGCTACAAATATCGAGTTTGTGTTTACAGTTAGAGTGCCGTTCAGGGATGTGATGATAAAGTACTTTACGGAAAAAAACAACAACAATACTGAAGCTACAAATATCGAGTTTGTGTTTACAGTTAGAGTGCCGTTCAGGGATGTGATGATAAAGTACTTTACGGAAAAAAACAACAACAATACTGAAGCTACAAATATCGAGTTTGTGTTTACAGTTAGAGTGCCGTGAAAGCTTGAAAAGCTTTTAAACATATTTTTCAAATCTTCCTAAAACTGTCATCGATGATAAAACTTTGAAAGAAATGGGTTACTGAATTATGTAACACATGTTTGTGACAACCTTAATAGTGCAATGATATATTTTATCTTAACCCGTTAGCACGAATAGTCGGCGCGCCAGTGTATGTATATCACGCGTGTTGATTTTATCATCCTCGGGTGCTTACACTGATCCAAGAACGTGTTCCGTAGGTCAAGTCTATCTGCCTTTCTGATTTTTTGTGGCTCTATTAGATACTTCGGAAGACAATTTCATTTACAGTTACAGCCTTATCACATATCTATATAGTTTAGTGTGCTGCGATGACACTTGTTTGAGGTAAAATCACTTCTTCTGATGTTAATTTTTCAAGGCTGCTACGAAAAGGTGTCATGTGCGTATTACGCCAGTAATGTCATAATTCTGATCGATGCCTCACGAGAAGCGTAAATCTTTATGTCATAACCTTATAATATGTTTTGCCCATTTTCTCGGATCGTCGCATTGGCTATGAACATTTGTGCAGTCGTATGCCATAGAGCGAACACTGAAACTGAAAAGTCTGTGTAGTATTTTTAGTATTTCATCAGACTTATTGCGTTAAGGAGACCTACCATGCGTAAATATGATAAAGTCTTTAATTTGTTGTCTTTCCATTAATCACTTTCTTAGTTTAATATATCCTAGATATTGACATGACGATGCAACGCGTTGATGTGTTTAATTTGATTAGATAAAATGAACAACGACACAAACAAGCTCTCGTCTCTACTACGTTTCTGTCACCACTAAGAAACCTGTACGTATTTTGCATGTCAGAAGCCTCAGGGAATAATTAGCTCGGCTGTTGGACGAAATGGCCCACATGCGTACACCGCTGAGGAACGAATGACCCGTGGCACGGCATCATCGTGCCCGAAAGCAGAGCACCGCCCGGCTAGCAACAGCAACGCTTTAGCCCGGACACGGAAAATCTGGGAGTCGCTTGAAAAAAAAGTATCATTCTGTTTTTTGCTAATTTTATATTTGATTTTTGAGATGCTCTTAATAATTTGACGAAAGTAAGTCTTGCAGTTTCAAGACCGAATAAATGTAATCAAACGTCAAGTTCTCTTCGTATCATATCATTTACTAAATGCCCATTTTTATCAGAGATACAGTGTTCTTTTGGAATCACACTAATAAAGTAGTTTCTTTAACTGACCATGAAAAAAAAAGGCAGGTTCACCTGATTAAGTCAAAATGAAATACAAATGGTCATGTCTCAAAATCTAATCTGTTTTTATTTTAGGAAGTATTGGATGTACATACTAACAAAGTTGTAGATCCACGAAGAAACGTTTGTAAATGAGGAGCGAATGAAAAATTTTATTCCGTTAAATTACTTGATAATTTTATCAAGTCTCATTTGTATAGTGTCTGACTGTTTCCTTTTCAATGTGATATTATAAAGGGTATAAGAGTGCCGAATGCACGTGGTATCCCGCCAAAAAGAACTTAAATGCTTTCATTGTAAGTTGACTTTCTTTTATCTGACCAGTATCGAATATTGGAGTACAATTGGCGCTATAATTATTTTTATGTAACGATGGTAAATATTTTTTTTTCTAGATAAATAAGTGAAACAGTATATTCATGATGTTAGAAAAACACGTAGGTTCAAGAAGTCTTGATAGAAATGAATAAAAACCCTATAACCCGAGCGCTTTCAAATAGTTGACCTTTTCTTCTTCAGTTTGCCCTTGAAAGTGCTCGGGTTATCGGGTTTTTATTCATGTGTATTGAAACAATATATTAAAATCTTATAAAATAATATTTAATACCAGTTCATTTTAATGTTACGATACTAAAGTAAAGACATAAACGAGTGTTCCGTAAATAATAAATACAGGCTGCACTTTA